CTTTAGATGACTTTTTACCTAGATTTGAATATTTATTACAAAAATTATCTTGTGATACGTGTCGGATGATTAAAATTTAATGATGGCCTACGAATATAAAAAATAAAATTTAGATATTAGATAAGGAATTACACAAATAATTAGTTGATATTTATATAAATAGTGGAAGCTCTTTAATAAGGCAAAAAACAACAATTTTATCTGGCGTTCCATCTCCTGTTCGCGTTGTTAAGATCACTACCTGCAACGCAAACACAGCCGCGACAGAAGCCCCGCGCGTCTTCCTGTTCGTGTACTCCGACAAAATGGTGCCTGAAAGCTGCTAATCGGCTAATCGCCGCCAATTCCAAATCCAAGAAAACAGAGAGTTTAATCACATTGCTCGACTCATGACCAAACGACGACCCCAATCCAACAGATAAACTATAAGCAACAGCGTCCTCCCGTACACGCTTTTCCGGCCAAGTTTATCTCCAGGCCAACCGAAGAACAGTTGGCCAGAGAGCGTTCCGCAGAGCGCGAAGCGGCGAAGATGTGAACGACCGATAAATCAGATGTTAATGAATGATGAATGGGAGGAACGAACAAACTATTGTCATGGGCTTCACACAAAATGCATTATATTTAATTACTCTTATAATTTACTGAAACAACCTCTTTTTTAAGTTTAATGATGAGGAGATAAAGATGTAATTTTGAGAAATCAGGATCCAATCCTTGTAAATAGGGATTCCATATCATGAATAAAAGTTAATCATTCACTATTGTACTCTCCTTTCTTTAGTGCGTCTCTCGGATATTTTTGAATTCGACAGGCAAAGAATGAGAACATGGAGCTTCTCGTTCTTCATTACTAGCTCTGATCTGATTGGGGACGAAGGAACAGAGAGGGGGAAAAAAAAAAAGATTTGAGCTTTCTTAATTGGAAGGAGAATGGTTTAATTTTTAAGGGAGATGGAGGAGGGTTAAATAGGGGGGGGCTGGAAGGAGAAGCTCCAGTGGAAATTTTCCAAGGATTGTGGAGTCGAAGGAGAAGCTACCTGTGAGGTATTTTCTTAAATTATATAAGAAATATGTTGTATTTTCTTAAATTCCATTTGAAATTTGTTTTGCATTCTTCATGTAATTATTAGATACATACCGTTTGAGGAAATTTCAAGGTAAATTTGATAATGCATAAAGCATATAAAAGAAATATTATAACAGGATGCCGATAAAGTGAGATGAACGGTCCACTAATGTCATTTCATAAGAATACTTCATCTAATCTTTTAAGTATATTAAATGAAATGTAGAATAAGCAAACTGATTTTGGAAATTTTACATACATACCACACAATCCTTATGTATTTACACAAACACCTAAAATTTGATATTTACATTTAAGCCACTTTGGTGTCATAAACGTATACATGAAAAGATTTATTTCTCCTTTTCAAAGTTGATAATGAGGGCTATTTAGATGTGATGTTACGATTTTGAGCGTTAAAAATTTAAATATAAAAGTTTGGGTGTTATGCATGTAAATACATAAGATGTATACAAATGTCCTATTAATTTCTTTTAAAAGAAACAACTGAAACCATATATGCATATCAATGTGTAGCTTTCTCTACATCAAATTAAAATATAAAAATCGAAATATATTGAGAATGTACCAAACGAGGATTAGAAAGTATTCCTTATACCTTATAAAGCAAATTTTCAAAAACCCAATTACTATATGAGACAATTAAAATTAATCATCAATGGAAATTCGATGGTACAAAACAGATGTAAAGTAATTATTTTATAAAATTGAGATTAGGGCTGTCAATTTGGCTCGTTGTTCGTGAACAGCTCGTGTTCGGCTCGAAAAAAAAATTATATAGTTTTTTATATTACAATATATTACATATATTATTTATATAATAATATATTATATATATTTATGTCTAAGTTTAAATCATAACACCTCATATGTCAATGTGGTTAGTGTTCTTTTGTATATATTTGATCCAGGTTCGAATCTCATACTTTACATCTATTTTTCTTAATTTTAGTTTAACGAGCCAATTTCGAGCGGAACGCGAAGAGCCGATTTCGAACACAAGCTATTTCGAACGAGCCGAACACGAGCCAAGCCTAAGCTCGCTCAAGCTCAGCTCGTTTCCAACCCTAATTAAGATATTACAAAATAATATTGATATCGGAACTAGGAGGGAAAAAGTAGAAATGCAAAAACTCGGTTTTATTAATGGTGAAATATGTTTACAACAAAACAAAAAAGAAAATAACAACACCGACATTCATGACCGGAGCAACACCTTTAAGATGAAATCATAAGATGGTGGACATCGGCTAGGTGGATCGAGATGACTAGTAGGGTTGACGGTAGTAAAAGTGGAGTGAGTAACAACAGGTACAACAAAGGTTTGTTGTCCTAGGGTGGCGACAATAAGGATGGAGTGTCGGGTGGCACTTTCAGCTGCATAACAACGGGTTGTGGGACTAGACAACAGACTTGGAGAGGTTGGACAACATGTTGGTCAGCTGGAAAGTGGGTTAGTGGTAGTTGGGGAAGGATTAGAGTGGTCGGAGGCTAAGAGGTAGGGAAGGGAAGGTCTAGGAGAAGGTAAAAGGGGAGATACAATCACCACCTCAGAGTAAGATGCAACTGAAATATCACCACCTTATTGAATACAACCCTACAAAAGAGAAAAAGACTCCACACAGAAATCTGGAATCAACACACAACAAAAAGCTAAAAACTCTAAGAATAACATCCCCTATTTATAATGACTAGGACTTATTTTAGGCAATGTTTAAAATAAGAAAGAAAAATAAAAATAATAAGAATCCAAATTAGGCAAGGATGACTAAACTATTAGAATTTCAAACTATGCAAAGACGAGTAAAATAAATCATAATTTAGAATTGTTGAGGACTTATAATATGAAAGTAATAATAGAATTTCAGATTAGGTAAGGATGAGTAAAATAAAAACAAAATTTAGAATTGGTAAAGACTTATAATAAGAAAGTACTAGAACGGAAAGAGGTGGGAAAGAAAGGAGTGTCAGGTCGTCAACCGCTCCCCACCGATCCTACAATTCAAAAAATCATCTTAGTGCTTGATTTGTAAATAAAATTGTTTAGGGTGCTCTTAATGTAAATACCCAATAAATGTGTAAAAAAACATAATATAATGTTACTCATGCTTCATATTTACATTCCTAAGCAGTAATACAAAAAAAAAACAGCATCGACACTGAAAAGTTAAAACTCTCAAATAAAATTACATTCCAACCAAAACAAGGCACCAATAAAATTTTCAATATAGAGTAAACATTAGTATTTTCATTCCGATTAATTCCTCCAAACCTAAACACAAACTAAAGCAATTTAAACAAACAAATAAATAAATTACTAAAACATTAAAGACATCACTAATAAATTCTGGTAATGAATGAAGAAGATGCCATAAAAGGAATCCCAAACAGTAAAGGCTTATAGGTTGGAATTCATAGACTGAATGTGATGTTGGGCCATAGAATTTTAAATGTCAGGTAGATTGTCCAGCTACTTGTACTGATATTATTTTATACTTATTTTGTACTGCCTTTTGATCCTTAAAAGTTTCAGAATGGTGAAAAGTCAAATTAGAAGCATGTTTTCTAAGCTAAGGCATTACTAATAATATTTCAAAATCGATTCCACCAACATGATGTTTTACGCTTAAGAAAAAAAAAAAAAAAATTGTTCAATAGTTTTGAATGAAAGATTTCAATAAAATTGAAGACTAATTTAACTTCAGTTTCAGCAATTTTGTAGCTGAACTGTAACATTTTGATAATACGAGCCCAACGACACAAAGTGATTGATGTGAATTCAAATGAGTGAAAATAAAACATTTGAAATATTATAGGAAGATTCAAAGCATTGATCGGAAAGTCGAGTGGAGTCCAGATTCAACATATTTATGGTTAAATAGAACATCCAAATGTGCAAAATCTGACGAGTCTAAGATCATTCAATTTTGAGGTCATTAAAACACGTAAACCCTTAACAAATAATTTATGATCAAATAAATGTCAAACAGAGACCATCCGATAGAGTATTTTGAGGATTTTGGCTAAATTGAACCAAATGTTCCTCTAAAATCCATATATTTTGCATGATAGAGGAGAAAAGAAATAAGTTAATGGTTGTCTACTCATTTTAATTTTGGTGTCTACCAATCATCATTGAATGAATAGTAGGACAAGTACTCATATTTTTGGAACACCATCTTCTTTAGTTAAAGAGAAGTGAAACTTTATAACTTTAAATACATGATGAATTATTCTAATTAGGCCAGACAATATGATTTTTTTTATTTTCAATTTTTCAATTAAAATCTCTGAGAACTCCTATTACAACATTTTGTTTATCTATGTGTGTGCTAAATCTTAGTACAATGCTGAGACATTTATTCATCTCTATCACCCTGTATTTTCTAGCTAGTAACAATATTAAAATGTATATTTCATGAAAAGACTAATAAAAAAAGATAAAATGAATAGTCATATTACTGTAAAATGGTAAGAAAGCCGATACATTAAAATACGATACAACAACAACAAGCATTTATCCCACAAAAATATGATAATTATAAAAAAAATCTATAATTTGATGATAAGCAATATTCGTATTAGGGGACCAATAAGATTGAAGGAAACACATATTAGTATTTTATTACAAAAAAACAAAATGTTTAGAATGAAATCTATTGAGAACACCAGCAGATGTTCATACGATTCACAAAAGATCATAAATGAACTGTTCTGATAAATTCTTCCAAAACTAAGAAAAGAGATTTAGAATACAAGCTAAATCAGGTAAAAAAGCTCTCTGGGCATCACCATCACAAACACCCCAAAAAGTAGAATAATACTACTATATCAGTATGAGAAAAAAATGCAATTCAAACAGCTACTACTGAGCATCAGGAACCATCCACAGGTAAAGCTACAGAACTAATAGTGAAAGGGGGTCTTATTATTACACTGAAAATTGGAGCAATTAACATCTCAAGTAATTTACCTCTGAAGAAGCATAAGCTCATCATTTACAGAAATTTAGGGCTCAATCATTTAATCACTCAATTGTCCTGTAATCATTATGTACTATTACAGATTCAAACTGCATACCACACCCGAAAATGAAATCTCCTTCATGAAATAATGCATCAAACCGATGAGCTCAATCTTGTGAATGGATCTCTGAAATAGCCCTCAAACTTTTGCCCCAAGAAAAGACTGCAACCAAATTAGTCAGAATTAAAGGTGTGAAGTGCAATTGTACTACCAGTCAGAAAGATATGTAATTCTACTACTTGAAAATGCAATCAACATCATTAAATTTTTCCCAACTATTTGCGGCTGCTTTATGAATCATTAATTTCCCTTTGTCTTCGCTCATATTGCACTAATTGTAAAACCTATTTTGCACTACGTTATCTTTAGTCTACCATTTTTTTTAAATTCTTCAACATTAATTTTATACACTCATCTTATTTGTGTATTTTCTACTCTTTATTGTACATGCTTAAATTATCTTACTTTATTTTCTTTTGTTATGATTATCTTTACTGGATGATACTCCCACTCTCACCTTCCTTCCAATATAATCTACTTAGTTTTATCATTTATAGTTTAACTGCACATTCATGTTATTCTCACTTATGTGACACATTCATCTTAATAGCTCTATTGCTTTACACTCAGATTCATATAACATAGCTAGCCTAACTGCAATTTTATAAAATGCACCTTTAAATCTTTATGATATTCTATTGTTGTGCAATATTGTAGGACATTTTTCTATTTTAACCACCTAACATTTAACTCTAACAATTATATCCACTCATATGTAAACCAAATTTTAAATACATTTACGTATCACATTTAGTTATCACTTTTAAAAATTGAGCCTATTTCTTTCCAACTTATGTTTTAAGCTAATTAAGTTAATGATAAATAAAGAGAGACAAGCATTAGGAATAGTAAAGTTGATTGGTTGGTTAAAAAAAAATTGGGGTTGACATAGATCCAAAAACAACTTGGGAGTAGTTTTAAGTTCCATTAGGTTCATTAAAACCAGACTACATAAATCTTGATGCCAAAGTGGATGAATCAAGAGGTGCTGCCGCATATGTGGCTATCAATAACCTGAGTGTTAGTAGTCGGTGATCTTACTAAAATGATTAGTTATGGGTGACAGTAGGTGGTTGACAACTTGGTTGAGTAAATGAGAAAAGTGATTTAAGCCTCCTAAGTAACAAAAGTCTTGTAAATGAGAGGAGTCAAAATTTTATAGTGGCCATAAAAATTGTTTGATGGGTGGCAAGCTAAAAGGGCTCGAGCATACGTCAGCCCAACCCAAACAAAACATTATTTTCTAAAAATATTAATTAATAATAAATATATCACACCATCAAATTGTTCGTTCCAAATTCAGTTGTTCAACTTCTAATCCATTAAGCATCTTCTTCATAGTTTAAACTTTCACTTGTCTACTAGAAGTGTCGTTGATTATAACTAAGCCAAGAGATACAATACCTCATTCCGAATATCATTTGTAACCATATTCATAACCAATAAAAAAGATACATAAGTCATTAAGATCCTTGATAAAAACCTAGCATGTTTAAGGATTCCAAGGTTACTTCACAACTTCTTATAATAGAAACCCGTACTGTATTATATAAATATTTAGTAAATTCCATATACAAAATGCATTCATACACACATCTTCTCCTTAATGAAAATCAAATTAATTCACATGCTTGTAAATTAAGATCAATAAAAATCTTATGGAAATCTATTTCATCATTCTATACTTTTTCAATTACCTGGCAACATAAATTAAGTTTATAATGGATTTTATTGGCTTAAACCCAAATTATTTCTCAAGTATAGAAGTCCATATTCCATAACCTTGCACACAACTTTTCTGAATGACTAATAAATTTGATTCTCTATGACTTCAATGAATATGATACAAAATTACAGGTCCACTCATAAAGATGAGGACAAAAAATCATCAGATTTGAAAATGAGTTCATCAAAATCTGCCTAATCCTGACTTTTTAAAGGTAGAAAATCTGCCTTATCTGACTTTTTAAAGGCGGGCTTAATGGCTTGTCCTCTTCCATTCAGATTTATAAATTGAATGCTTTAGTAAATTAATGTTCAACAACAAATCCAAGAGTTACACGTACCTTCACTCCTGCTTGAGGTGTCCCCAATTTACTAGTAGTACTTCCAAAGTTTGGTTTCTTCTTCTCCGCCGGCTTTAGTATTTGAAAGGAACACATAAGAGTGTCATCCACACTCATCATAGCACCCGCATTGTCAAATTCTCCGCAGTAATTTGGTGCTGAGAATATCGTGACCAGTTGCCTATCAGCGAAGAACTCATAGCCATCTTCAACAACCTGAAAACTAAACTAAAGATCTATTAACACCAAAACAAAATAAAAGACTGCACAAGAATGATTCCTAACCGGACGAGCACAACATATATGATTAGATCATGTCCACACAAAAAAGAATATAAAAAACATGCGGAAAATTTTGATACATCAGTAAAAATCACAATCACTGTTTTAGCTTGAATTTAAAAAGGTTTAGGGTTCATTATTCCTAACCTGATGAGCACGACATATAAGATCTAGATCATGTTTTTGAAGAAACTCAGACACCTTGTCAGCACCAAAAGTGTAGGAAACCCCTCTATCATTCATTCCCCAGCTTTGTACATCTTTGCTAGGATCAGACCAGAGAAGATCACAAAGTAAACCAGTCTCAGGAACATCAGTTGGTCGGGCTTGGTTTCTTATCTGATCCAAACTATGCAAGTCCGGAGATAAACCTCCATGCATACAGAGGATTTTTTCATCAATAAGAGCCGCCACAGGAAGGCAGTTAAAGCAATCCGTGAAAACTTTCCAAATCCTCACGTTGAATCTACGTTTACATTCATCGTAAAATCCGTATATTCGGTTTATTGAAGCACATTCATGGTTGCCTCTCAAAAGGAAGAAGTTTTCAGGGTATTTGATTTTGTAGGCTAAAAGGAGACATATTGTTTCAAGACTCTGCTTCCCTCGGTCAACATAGTCGCCCAAGAAGAGGTAATTAGCTGCAGGAGGAAGGCCTCCATATTCAAAGAGACGTAACAGATCAGAGTACTGACCATGAATGTCCCCTGTGAAGAAGAAGAAACCATCATAAAATGTGCAGAGAAGATGCACAAGTTCAAGATGAGAAAGGAATCTCAAGAAAATTTAAGACAAAAACCTCTCTAACATCATGAAATATCATCAAACAAATATAATCTCACTTGTATGATCTTCTACTACTTCCAAAAACATTCCTTGATGGGAATAACAAACCCAAACAGAATACTCAGCATTATAACAGATGGTAGAGTTAACCTAAACTACAATTAGCAAACAAATATTATTACCAAAAAGCCAATAGGTGGTTACAACCAACACTGAAATGGAAATAACACAGACACAACACCAACCCAAATTAGGGTGGATCTCGGAGTGCTAGTGGTTATAGGCTAGGCTTTGGTCCTTCAAAGAGGTAGCAAAGGATGGGGGAAGAGCTGGAAGGTGTGGCGACAACAATAGTAGGTGAGTAACCGCGAGGGGTATGTGCGAAGCTGTGAGAAAGAAAAAATGTGGTTGAAAGTGGGGTTGGACAACAGGAGAAGTGGCTGGGAGGGTTGAGGGCTGAAGGAAACAGCAAGGGAGGGGCTTGAACAGCAATGACAGAGAAGCAGAAGGTTTGGACAGCAGGAGAAGTGGCTGGGAGGGTTGAGGGCTGCAGGAAACAGCAAGGGAGGGGCTTGAAGAGCAATGATAGAGAAGCAGAAGGTTTGGACAGCAGCGACAGCGAAACGGAGGGCTGGGACAGAGATGGGGAAGGCCGGAATTGCAGAAATTCAGCAAGATATGCTATGTGGGGTGGCTGCAGCAAGGAAAGATAAAGGTGATATCAAAAGGAAGGATGCGGGGGAGGAGTATAAGGGGATAGTCACCACCTGGGGAACGATATACAAGTGAAACACTACTTGACCCTTGGATACAGACCTTGAAGGGGAAATCTGAGATGCCGACAATTGTCCCAATAGAAAATACACCAAAACTGAGAAATCAAACCCTAACACAACACATATGTAAGATATGACTAGAAAGGAAGAATGTATAAGAAGAAACATGCTAAAAATCATTAAGCAAATTGAAAGAGAAGTCGTTCGGTTCGGCTCTACTCTGCCTGAACCAATCAGTCCAGGAATTTGGAACGTGGTCACGAGACTCCCGCTCATGTGCACCCAACATCAAAAGCGGGACAATCCCGCATCAGTCTCCCGATATTGATGGAACTTTGACGTCATCCATCTAAGCTTCTATCTCCTCATATTAGGACGTTAGGCCGACCACTTCAACTGTAACTTCTCAGTAAGTCAATCGTGTAGGAGTTGCTATTCCAAAGCTCCATCCTGATAGAATAAGTATCCATCATCTTTTGTCACAACTTGATCTGGAACTGCATGTGAATAGGTATCCTCACAAGCCAAGCCCTGAACCAATAAATTTGTAATTGCTTCTTTACCTCCTTGTACTCGTCTGAGTGTATTTGATAAAAAAGTTTGTAAGGAGGATCAACTATGGGAAGAAATATATGGCAAGTTGGAGAACTGTCAAAAGAAACCACTCATGAGAGGCGTCTTCTTCTCCGGTAATACCTAGATCCTATTATTAAATGTTCTTCCCCCAAAGATCCAGTGATATCTAATGTTGTGGTTAATCTACCCCATTTGATCAACTATGAAGAAATCCATGGTAGGTTGGACAACTCCAAAACAAAGCACTCATGAGAGGCCTCTTCTTCTACGATAATACGTAGATCCCATTATAAAATGTTCTTCCCCCAAAAGATCCTAAAGTGATATCCAATGTTGTGGTTCATCCACCATTGTCTGATCATCTATCAGTGGGTACATTGCTAAACTAATTTTACTTATCAAATGATTTCATTTAGTCTTCCAGAAAAGACATAAAAGTGTCATCTTTGACATATTGGACCTCCCTTAGTAAGGGTAACTATATCAACAACATATGAAATTTTCTTATATGAGGCTGCCATGTTATGTTGTCGTTTCAGCTTGGACCGTTTTGGACCACCAATCTAATTCTATTAGAATCTCTCTCATTAACTCATCTTAAACTGTATTTTTCTTGCTCATTAGTTGAAATCTGGTACTCTTTTGTATCCTCACTTTTTTCAGTGTTTATTGTGTTATTGTCCATTTCTTCAACTATTCTTTGCTTGGTGAGATAAATCATTCTCCTGATTGGGCAATGACTCAATATGCCCAAGTTCGTTACACATGAAACACTTCCTGACTGGAAAGAATTTTAGAATGAAGATTTGTCCATCTATTCTCCCCTCTGAATTAATGTCTGCTCAGACGGGGTCAGCTTGCATGTTCAGCTAGATGTACTCCTGTTGCTTGATCCTGGAGTTGAATTGTATGTAAGATATGGTGGTCTGCCACAACTTGACCCGAGAATTCGAATTAACCAAGGCGGGTAAAGACGGTCGGACGGTAGAAATTAAGTTTTATGTATTCATCTAACATTTAACAAATGAAAATATCACTGAAGAAATTAAATTAAGACAATATAATTAAATTTACCTCATAACAGGTTGTCTGCGTCTTTCATAAATATTTTATCTTATATCGCTCATTTTTTAGTAAATTAATTACTCATGAGAATTTAGCTTAAAATAACTGTGAGCTAACTAAAATCACCGAGCACTCACACTTCTAAATTACAATAATACAAGAAAAAGAAAATAAAATGCATGTTAGTTGAGCTTTTAATAAAACAATATAAAATATTTGATATTTTAAGAATATGATCACTTACGATATTTCATGTTATTTAATAAATTTTAATATATAAATAACATATATATATCATTCTATATCCGTACAAATGTCATAGAAATATTGTCTAAAAATTGTACTAATTAAGGTACTTCAATATCAATATCAATATCATTATCATTTTTCATTTACGAGCATATGTAACTTAGTGTTTCCCTGCTAATACTATAAAAGGATGACTCTATCAAATTTAAACATGCACTTGCCATCATGCTATAAAAATCACTATTTAATAATGATTATTTCATTCTCATTTGCATAGCAATTAATATATATGTATAACATTCAATATCAATGATAATATAAAAAAATGGCTAAGTACACATCATTTCTATAATATAAACAAAAATTCAATAAAATTATAAATCATGAATTTATATCGATTTCAATATAACTAGCGCTAATAATCATAAATGCATTTAGTCTAAAAGAAACAAAATATTAGCATAGTATAAGAACATGAGCACCCACCTCAAAATCATACTTGTCTTAAATCTTCATACACGCTTAATCTATCTCAAATAGTTAATTGCCTATGATATCATAATAAAAAAAGTTTCAGCATATTATTATGTTTAACTAAATAATTATGTTATGTTAAAAGTTTTTAAGTATTCATGTTACTTGACTATCAAAACTATAACTAAATCAACATTAATGATTTGCATTAAATTTTATTCAATATTCAATTAATGCCCCCACTAATTTAAATAAGAAATTGTAAACTTTATTTTCATATTTCAGTTGAATCTTTCATACTATTATTATTTAATATTTTTACTACCTATATACAACTTTAATAATTTATATTATCAAAATATAAAACTTAAAATCCTAAACTCAATAGTTAGGCACAGTTTCTTTTCCCCTCTCCCTCGCACGGCTCTGCCTCCTCTTCACTAAAATTCGAATAGGCGCGTGTCCCCTATGATTCTTCTTCCTCCTCACACAATCGGCTTGTTTTCTTCCTTCGCACAGAATGCTCAGGTCTCTCTTGAACCTTCCTTCTAGGACCCACACCAAAAGGCTAGAGTTCACACGATTTGCTCCTGCTTGCGTCTTGTCCTCCTTTGCGCTCGCAGATCACAAGAGCTTCTCTCTCGACTTCCTTCGATCAGCCAAAGCACCAATCACAGAGATGCTCCAGCTTCGCACCGAAAGCCTTTTGTGTCGTCGTCCTCTCTGCCCTAGACGCATGCAACAACCATCGAGCTTTGAGGCCCTTATTCCTTCTTGTGTGTTGATCGACTCTATAGATAAATCAATCTCATCTTTGTTTTATAGATCGAAGGTAACGTTTGTTTTCCCGACTCTTCACTTTCTCTCCCTCATCTTCGATTTCTTGACTACTCACTTCCTCTCCTCCTCTTCAATTACCTTGGTATTTGAAACGAGACGTCACACGGTCATCCGGTGATGTTGTTTCTCCACTTTTGAAACTAAGGTATGAACATTTTGTTTGTAATGAATTGGAAAGTACTAACACGGCATCTCCCTCTTCATCTTTGACTAGGTAGTAATTTTACTCTTTCCTTCTTACTGTCGAAGAATCTTCAACTGCTCCCACCACCGAGATGTGCTCTTAATTAACTTACTGACAGCTAGCTAGCTTTACCATTATGTCTGGTGGGATATCTTGGTACTCAAAGACACAATCCATGGTTTAGAGCCACTTGATAACCTCTTCCAGATCAAAGTGGTCGTCAAAATATGACAAATCCACCTTTACTTTAAGATTCAAACTCCCATACTATTTCATGCTAACTCTTCGGGGTAGGGGTTCTTCATTTATAGAATATGCTTAATGAAAGAGATTTAATATATTCTTTCAATCAAGTCACCGTTGTGGCTACGGGTGACCCTTTTGGATTGCCCCTCTCAAAGATGGCAAGCTTGTATTGCACTAGGAAGATTTTCCGTCTTTATAGAAGATTCTTGGGCATCTCTTTCTCATAAAAGGCATTGTGGTATTTCCTCTCAATTATCTCCGACGATTGTCTCTTTGATGTTGTGGCTAGGGCTTCGGTTTGGGTAGGTGGAAGAGGGTGTATAAGAATGATGTAGAGTGAGAAAGAAATTTTTTGTGTGACCGATTTGAAAAATCAACAAACGATATTTTTGTGGAGATTAGGTTAGGTAGTGGGGGACTTCAGTAACCCTAGGATAGGACTAGGTAAAATAGTTTTGATACCAAATGATACCAAAATTAACTCAACTGACAATAATCAAACATATATTAT